AGAGGAGGGTTTTTTTTTTTCCCTAAGCTTCAATTCCATAGATCTTTTAAAGTCATCAGCACATCTGAATTATTAATGAGGCTTTAGAGGCAAGACTCCTGATGGGCTGGTTAAAAAAGGTTGTATAGAAATCTGGGACTGTGTACACATCAAAATAATTTCAGCTCCATTTAAAAAACCATTTAGTTCAAGTGTGACATAGATGAACCATTATGCATTTGTGGAAACCAATTTCTTGTGATCTACGATTAAACTAACCTTTCAGAGAAGAGTAAAGTGTGATGGTTATCATGTTTTAAAAGCATTGCCAGGTCTCGGAAACAATTTCCAACTAGGACTTTCTCAAACAGCTCATGTGCAGAGATGAGGCTCTGAGTGGGGCCTGCTGTTTACGCTGTTGGCCCAAGCTGCCCTTGGCTCTGGCCGCACAGTTCTGCAGAACGATTTTGCTGCAGGGATTTAGTGCTAGGCTGCACATGCCAGGTAGGAAGAGTAAGTCTTATTGGTGGAAAGGGGGGATGTGTTTTGGGTGAAAGACCAAACAGATGCAATTTGCTGATTTTTTTTTTTTTACAACCGCTGCAGAGAATAACTGTTGAAAATTTAGTATTTACAGTTCAATTCAAAGGGGGCACTTTGACCTTTCACCATGGACAGAATATCAATTTTCTCCAGCTATCTGTAAGAGAGACAGCATTACTGGTCTCATTTAAATTTCTTCTTTCTCTTTAAATTTCTTGTCACAAAAGACAACTGAGGTAGAATAGCCCCTGCGGTTGAGGAATGCAGCTTCAAGCAAGGAAAGATTTGTAGGCAAACACCTCCAATTGGGAGGTGAGATTCTCACTGTCCCTGATAAGCCACTGTTTAATTCAGTGTCTTCTAAACTCTAAATGCCTATGCTGTGTGAGGCCAGGTCAAGTAAGATGTTGAGGAAACTGAGCTAGTGAGCTGTTCTGAACCTTATTAGAATGTCTGGGGACAAAGGTCTCCCATCATCTTCAGAGAGAGGTACATTTTAGTGGTCACCATCCATTGGGCTTCCATGGAATGTGTTTTGATCAAGAGAGTGATAATTTGGCATATGAAATCTTGTTGTTCAAGGACAAAGCTGCACCAATGGATCAATACGAAACTGGGCACAGGGAAGAGGGCTAAAGCAGGAATTCTAGAAAGTGCTGAGTGAGAAAGGGAATCCACTCCAATGCTTGGCTAGCTCATTTCTTCTATGCAGCCTTATTTCAGACCTAAGACGAGAAGAACTGGGGTCTATGAGGCTTTTATGGTGCCAGGACCCCCCACCCATAAAATAAAAACCTGGGTTTGTTCTTAGACTTCTTGAGGGTGACATGTGTATGATACCCTATTCTGAGAACTCTGTGCGATTTGTCAGAAACTTCTGTCACAAGGCAGTTAGAGTTAGGGGAGGAATGGCATGTCACTATCTGAATTTTTTTTTTTTTTTTGGTCACAGGGATCTCTGTAGCCTTGGCTGTCCTAGAACTTGCTTTGTGGACCAGCCTGGTCTCAAACTCACAGAGATCCACTTGCCTCTGTCTCCCAAGTGCTGGGATTAAAGGTGTGTGCCACCACCACCTGACTGCTACATTATTGAGAGTGTAATGTTGTACAGCAACTAAGCCATTATGCACACTATGGACACACCACGTGGAGGTGGCCAGTGAAATGGCAGCAGCTTGTGGTCTAGAGTGAAGTGTACCTGGCTTTCATATCCTATCTGCTCTGAAAACGCTGTGTAAAGTTTCTTGTTGTCATTTGTTCTATAGAATATGGTTGAGGAAATAGTCTTCCTAATCTTGTTAGCTAGGTCAACAGAACAGGTACCAATGGCTTACTACACATTCAGTTACATAGTAATCAAATAATATTTGATAAGTTTGTTAATGCTTTTAATGATAGGGACTTTGGTGTTCTTCAGACTCCAATGTCAGTCACATGGAGATTCTAATATCCCCAACATCTAATTTGATCATAAGAGTTGAACTGTAACTCGCTGAGTACAATAGCTGTAATGACTGCATAAGCGTTAGCTTTAAGGTTAGTACTGAGAAGAGTAGGATGTGGGTTGGGTAATACCTTCCATATGTTGTGTTTACAAATGAAGTTCTTCAATGGAGAAGCCAGGGGCAGAGACCTAGGATGTATGAACTGGGGACTTGCCTAAAGAATGTAGATATGGCAATAGAGACGACAAGGGGGGATCTTATGGGCAGACTTCATCTGGAAGGTGGCTGAGAGGAAGGGTGATACGGTGTTATGCTAGGGAACTCAGGATTTTCATGTAGTGGGTCTTTGTTTCTGACATCAGATTTCCCTTGATGTTTGGAGAACCACCTACGCCTTCCCTCACTAGTACAAGGGTAGGGTTTAGAACAAGGGTTTAGATTCCTTTCTGGGGGACAGTTACTATGGTTAGGAGGGGCTGAGCACTCCAAAGCTCCACAAACAGAGGGAGAAACAGTTGCACTATGAACACTGAGCCTTTGCTGGCTCCATGGGCTGTCAGTGTTGTGGGCTTTAGCCTTTTCACATGAGTACACCCCCAGGAAGACCACAGAAAGGGGGAACTGATAAAGGCACTTGGAACACTAGGCGCTCTGTAGCATCATGAGCTGAGGCTGTGAGAGCAAAGGCATGGAAGGAAAAGATCCCAGTTGGATAGCAAGAACAACGAGACAGCAACGGCTACAGGGAGCTCCAGCCTACAAGGGCAACTCCATGCGGTTTCCTGGGTTACGTTTCTGATAGGCAATGTGGTGTTCCTCCTCTGCTCACAAAATCCTGATGATCCCAGGCAAAACTACATCCTGTCTCCTCCTCTTCTGCCTCAGCAGAACACAGCCATTCCATAGACATAAGTATAGTCTCTACCAGACCCAGACAAGCTTCCTTGATCTCACTTCTTTGTAATGGACCACTCTGACTGTCACTGCATCTCTGTATCCTGTCAAAGCCTGAGGATACTCTTTCCTCTTAGGTAGCAGGAGTTTCTCTCACTCACTTCCATGAGCAGTCTCCTTATGAGAGATACTTAACCAGCTTAGTGACATGTGCCCACAGCTACTTCCTTATCATATTATGACAAAGCAGGCATTGGCTGATGGAAGTTGGTGAAGAAAATGATTTGAACCCTGTCTTATCTTCCACTCCCTGAAGTTTCTGCACTTTCTTGTTCTTCAAGGAGCCTGTTGCTATAGGAACCTGGAAGGTGGATATAATTATCTCTATTGGGATATAGACACCCTTAAGGCATTTCCCATGCTGAAAGTGAGTCAGTCAAAGGTCCCTCTGGTCACCTAGGATCTCCATAATGCAGCCAACAGGCACAGTCAGTCTCTCTAGTCACTAAGCTCATAGGGCTTGCCCCCTGGCTTGGAAGCAGAATCTGGCTCCAAGAGTCCGACACCAGCAAATCAGCTATGTCAACACCTCAGGCATTAATTGCCACTTTCCCAAAAATAAACGAAGGGGATGTGTGTAAATTATAAAACAGTTTAAAACTGTGAAAAAATCGATTAAGTTGAGAGTCTTTTGAAATACATATTGCATGTACCTGCTTTAATACCCTCAGTCATAAGCCCTAACTGCAGAATAAAATTTGAAATGTCTCCAAAGTGCAGTGGAGACCGGAACGTGCAAGGGTCCATTTGAACTAGATTTGAGAAGGACTTCATTGGCAGCTGTGAGAGATGCTGAAAGGTTCACAGTTATCAGACAGCTGGTGCTGAGATTTTCCTCCTAGCTTACCAACTCACTTAACATCGGCCCTTTCCAAAGCCCAAGCAAAGGCTCAAAAACTGCTTCTCTCTTCCAGCTCTGGGAAGATCACTGAGTTCCAAGCTGTGATTCATATTAAATGCATGCTTTTCTCTTCACAGTGTTCTCTCACTTTCTACCATTTCTTCACTGTTTCTCGTCTGGGTGACGGGGAGTAGGGAAGAGAAACTATAGAGTCATTTGCCCCCTTCATAAGGGAGCTTCTGTCTAATAAAGAAAAATATAATATAGAAGTTTCAGCTCTTAAGAGGGAACTCAACACGATCCCTTTGCCACCATCAGATATATTAGTAATCATTGCTCACCAGTTCTCAGTGATCGTAATAATCTACCCAGTGGAGAGTGTGTGCCCAAAGTTCAGGGAAACCCCAAATTTCATCTCATGTCAATCTGTTCCCATTATAGTCAATCACAGTCTCAACTATGGGAGCTACTAACCAAGAGTATTAAAATACACTTTGGCTTTATACCTGTCTGCCCCATTTGCGGTTGGGATTTAACAAAACTCTGAAAGGCAGGTGGCAGGAGACACATGAGTACTGTCCAGACTGAGTCATCAGCCCCTTCAGCACTGGACATGCACTCTCAGCTCACCGGCTTTGACTGGCAACAAACAGATAAAAGAGACCAATGCATTTGCCATTAATAACCCTCCTACTACAGATGAAAGGAGGATCAACCGTTAACAGGGAAGCACATTCGCCAAACGGAATAGCTGTGAATGTTTTACAGAAACAGTTATCAACTGGCATCATCGCTCGATTTGTTGGGTCTTGCCAAGATCAACACAGAGAGGTAAACAGACCGATGGGGGCTGGGTTTGGGTGGTGGTGGTGGTGATGGGGGAAGTGGAGGAAGCTGGGTTTTTCAATGGGAAAATGCTTTTGGATTTGGGGCAAGGTACCAAGGTGGGCGGGGAGGCCACGTGCAGTTTTAAAGGCAAGCCAGATGGAGAAAAGTTACCCCCAGATTACCCAATCCCCAAACCCAAGAACACCAAAACAAACTCTAAGGGATCTAGCCATAGCAGCAGCACAGCCTCATGGCGCTGGGCAATTGAGAAAGTGGAGGAAGAAAAAGAAGAAGGAAGGAAGAAAGGAGGGGGAAGAGGGGAGAAGCAAAAGAAAATAAATAGAACCACAAACAGAACAATAAAAATAAAAATAAACAAACCAATAACAGAATAAAATTTGTAACTCCTTTTTTTTTTTAATTCCACAAAAGTTTCACAAGGACAACGTTATAGAAGAAAACCCCCAGCAGTGGCTAGGTCATGCAGAACCATTAATTGTCATACCTTGGCCCATTCTAGTCATCCTTGTTGCACTTTAGAGAGAGAAGTAAGCTATGTGAGTTTTACAATGCTTTTAAACTGTCAGTATTTCCTGTTGAGCACTTTAACTGGCACATTCTCATAGTTATAAATGTTCTGAGGGCATAACTTCATAACCTCCTTTGCAAAGAATGCATGAAGATCTCTCATAATCCAAAACTAGGGGATAGGTATATATAGTTATATATATATATAGTTATATATATATATAGTCATATATATAGTTATATATAAAGAGATAGATATATGTCATATATAAATCAAAATACATAAGGACAAAAATAATTTGAAAAAAATACTTCCACTCACGGGACTTTTGAATTTCCACGGACACAATGACTCCCCACCCGTTGCTGGTTGGAGTACTGCACTGCCCCCTGTCTTTGGTGTGGGAGAAGGTGGAGGTTCTGATTGAGCCTCACCATTTTTGTCAGTAAAAGTGCTTGTCAATCACACAGCAAGCAAATGTCCAAAACCATCATGCTGGAAGGGACAGGGGATCCAAAATCTAAACCCAAAACATTCACCATAAAAACACCTTTTTAAAAAGAGACGCTACAGCTGTTACAAACTTTCTCCTCCTTCCTGCCCTTTATTCTAGCCGTGGATTTCTAAGTAAACATCTCAGACAGGCTCATATGCACCCAAGGCTAGTCTAGCCATACCCGAATTTGGTTATGGTAAAGTTGGCCAATTCCTAAAATGTAATTTGCATGCATAAAACATCTGGTGATTGCATATTGGGGGAAAGGGGATCAGTCTATCTTCCCTCCCTTGTTGACTAACAGTTTTTTAAAAAAAAAAGAATAAAAGAAAACAACAACAACAACAACAAAAACCTACTGAAATGTGCTTGGCTTGCTGTCGTAGCCCTTTCCTTCCTGTTTTCAAATGACAGGAGAAGCTCTCTCCCGCTCACTCGCTTGCCCATGTGAATTGGCTGTATGTTAAAGAGGTTGCCTATGGTGAACTTCTCCTGCCAGCCTTCTGCTTTGGGACAGAGCATCATACAGCTGTGCTAGCAATTTAAATGTGGGCACTAGTTTCTGTCTTTGTTGAGTCAACCAACGGTGGCTCCATCCTCCTATATCCTGATTTATCTAGCATGTCAGCTCCTACAGAAACCATTATCTGTCGCTAGATCTTTCTCCCTCTCACTTCACCACTGCTCCAGACTGAACTGCCCTGGCTTTGGGGCCCTCGTTAGTCAAACAAAGGGGAGTAAAAAGGTCCCCTGAGAATGCATGGAAAAATACTTGCTCTTTTCTGAGCGTTATTTATTCTGTACATAAGGTAAGTGATTCACCTTTTAAAAGATGTAAAAGTCCCAGGAAGGCAGTTCTTAATGACTTACATTTGATATTTATGATACATATGGCTTTTCATCCCAAATGTCAAAAGTGAAAGAAAAAAACTAGCTATCCCTATGGCAGCATAAGGAGACAGAATAACAATTTAATATGCAACCAAACCTCTTTTCAGGTATATGAAATGACTAGGATTTGATACATCCAGGGGTGGAAACCTGTTTTCCTCTTTGCATTCAAGTTAGAAACATTCACTTGAACTTCTGAAAGAAGTTAGCTCTGAGACAAAAAGGCTTTGGTGAATAAGTTAAAAAAAAAAATCTCTGATGCTCTCTCACAACAAGCAGGTGCTTAATCATCTTTTGCGCGTACTTTGAAAGCTTTCCGAATGTTTTGTGATACTTTAGCCCAGAGTGGAAACAATCAATGCACTTTCCTTCCTTTTGGTTGCTTGTTTCAAATGATCATGTGCTAACTTACTGTGTGTATAGAAAAAGAGAGAGAGAGAAATGAAATAACAAAACAAAACAAAACAAATCAAAACCCAAAGCATTCTGATGGCCCTGATAAATCGGAATCAACCTGCTTTGCCTAACTGACAGATTGCAGGTGTTCCCTTCTAATCTGTGAACTCATTCCTGTAGCGAGCTATTTACATCTGGAGGATGCCTCTGGGTTATTCCCCCCTAGAATCATAAATAACTTTTGGTCCGTCCGCTTATTCGCTGTTGTGTTCAAGGGTTTTATGGTGGTGAAATAAAAATGACAACCACATGCACACTATCATACATATGCAAATGTGTAAAAAAAATAGGAAAAGAAACGAAAAAAGAGGGGACTACAGGGAACAGGAAAGTTGCTCTGTTGGAATACCAGCTGGGGAAATGGGTAGCAGATAAAGTTTCACACACGGTGCCGGTGGATACACATATCAAAGTCGCTCTTCCTGAACGTACTTCTGTTTGTCGCGAGACTCCCTGGACTTGGGCCGGTTCGGCCGATTTGCTGTGGACGGGATGGAGTGGACGGAGGAGCTCTTCTTACTGGAGGACTGTGAGGAGTGGGAGGAATGAGACAGGCTGGCTCGCGATTGGCCAGCGTTGTGGTCAAACTGCATCAGGCAGAAGATCAGGTCTGTTGGTACGAGCTCAAACTCGTAGGGGGGATTGGTGATGACGTACCTAGAGAGAGAAAGCAAAGCGGTCACAGGCTGAGTGGAGCAGACACGTGACTTAACTCTCCCTGAGTCAAAAACCAAATTGCCTGGCTGCTCCAATATATCTGAGGAACTGGATGATGGTTCTGTAGACTTGAATCCTCTTCCGAATGAAAGAAAAGTTTCATGTTTAGCTCAGTGAGGCAGTCAGAAGACCAGGCAAAGGTGCCAAGTGAGAGCTGGTGATGAAAAAAGCCACACCATAATTCATATGAACCATATGCATTTTTTCCTACAAAGGTCCAGTTCATGATAAACAGTCGCCCGATTGGGCTGTAGCTTCTATACTAGAAATTCCTGACAGCCACAGACACCCCACAGGGTCTCTGTTTGTCTTCCCTACAACTTCTTGAATAACAGTTTTCTGATTATAAGAGCTTGACCCGCCTCTTTCCTATTCTACCAGGCTTTCTATGCATGGCTACGGTGATCACCATATTGACTCTGTAGCAATGGATCTATGTGTTTGTTCTCAGAGGCTCCCAGGAACCTTAGAAAAAAGACAGGTTGTTTCCTTGGGGATGGAGAGGCCCTGGATTCAATAAGTAGCACTGAAAAGAAGAAAATAAGAAAGGGAAGAAGGAAAAATGAACCAACTAAAAACAGAAGAAAAAGTTCAAGTAACCTCACTCACCCTGATCTGTGGACTCACAAGCCCTGGGGTGGGAGACTCAGTAGTCCGGCCTTGGGAAGCTCTATAGGCGAATCTCATATTCATTGTCATGTAGGAACACATCAGTATACAACAATTTTTGTTTTGTTTTGGTTTTCAAGACAGGGTTTCTCTGTGTAGTCCTGGCCATCCTGGAACTCGCTCTGTAGATGAGGCTGGCCTTGAACTCAGAGATCTGCCTCCCAAGTGCCACTACCTGGCCTTAGACTGCAACAATTTTTAACTCTGGCTATATACTGTAATTCTCAGGCATTAAATACATAAACATTGGTATATAATTTTAAAAGTACATGCAATTTTTTTTCTTACACACTGTGGAAATTACTCTAATCACAGTATTTTTTTTAAGTAATTTATTTTTATTTTATGTGCATTGGTGTTTTGCATTCATGTCTCTGTGGAGGCCCCGGAACTAGAATTATAGACAGTTGCTAGCTGCCATGTGTGCTGGGAATTGAACCTGGGTCCTCTGGAAGATCAGTCAGTGCTTATAACTGCTGAAGCAGCTCTCCAGCCCCTAGTATTTTTTTTTTTTTAAATCCCACAGATTACTTTATTCTAGAGGTCTGAGAAGTACCTCCATGGCACTATTTCCTGGATCACACACACTACACTACAGATCTGAGAAGTACGTCTACGGCACTATTTCCTGGATCACACTACACAAACTCATGGGCTTGGGTAATTCTAGAGTCACTGTTTTACCTGCTATGAGTTTCAATTAAGGCATGTAAGGGAAAGCGCACAACTAGCATACCCAAACCATCATCTATTTCTGTGTCAGGTGATAATATAAAGGTTTCTTAAACTTAGATATAAGAAAGAAAGTGAATCAATCAATTACAAAATATATAAATCAAAATATAGCATCAATATAATGGCAACTTTTATCTCTCTAGCGATCTCCTACATTAGGAAGCGCCTCCACATTAGGGACCAAGGAAGGGATGTGAGGAACCAGAGTTCGGGATTCTGGCTTTTGTAATGGGGTAAACAAATCCTTGCCTCAGTGACTTCACATTCATTTTCAGTATTTTTTTTTAAAGAAATGTTTGTTATAACTCCTGGGGTGAGTGTTACATTTGGCGTGGGCAGTATGTTGAAGGCATGCACATAGAGACCTTTGCCTGCAGGAAGCAAGAGAAGGCACTGATGCCTCTGCACTCAGGTGAGACGGGAAGTGGGACAATGAATACACTCACCTTTTTGTACACTGGCTTGGGGTGCTGAGGTGGGCATCTCTCAGCCGGTAAATTCCAAAACAAAGCATATTATACGTTTTCAGAGCTTTGCAGAACAGATCACCATAACAACCACCATCCTAGGAGGCAACAAAAGACAAGAGAAACATCAGCTTTTGCTTGCCTGGGAATCAAGGTGGGAGGCGGCTTTTCATCAACCCCTCTGTGCCTGAAGACATCAGCATGGTTAACAGCTTGCATCCAGTATGTTTGACTTCAGGGAACTGACCATCACAGGGGCTTCCCCTGGTGGCCACCCAGTTGTGTCCATAGCTCAAACACACTCCTGGCTTCCTTCACCTGGGATGGGGATGTGCCACTGGAAGGTCTCAGCTGTAGAGCTAGAGAGAAGAGGTGAACTCTGCAAAGCAAGGATTGTATTCCCTGTGCTCAGCTGTTTCCACTGTGATGAGACCATATTGTCAGGACTGTCCAAGTGATAATGAGAAGCACTGCAAGAATAAAAGAGCAGCCCCAAGCCCTCTGGTGAGGAGACTCCAAGAAGGACTGTGTGAAAAGCACAATTTGCAGACCTCAAAGATGCCTAGGGGAAGGGCATGTGGGAGTCTGCAGGTAAGGTAGCTGGGATTCACTGCACTAATCAGTTCACAACCACCCCGAGTTCTGGGGCTTAACTCAGAAGGTGAAAACAATGGGATTGTTTGCAAATGCATAGAAAATTCTGGACTTCAAGCAGATGTGTGATACCAAGTAGACTTTACTATACAGATCAGCATGAGACAGAGTAGACTCACTAGAAACCGAGGGAATGCATTTGTCTTTGCTATCACTGGAATTCTTATGATGAGCATCATATTAGACAACAAAAGGTCCCACATTTTTCCATTACTGAAAATATTAATCTGATTCAACTGGATTAGTAAGGAAGTGATAAGGATAAGAACTACTGATGATGGAAGTTGACCTTCATCAGTCTAATATAGGTCCTGGCCCAACAAGCAGCCATCTGATGTGTCACGAAACAAGACCTTTTCCACGATGGTACATTCTGGACAATATATAGTGTAATAGGGAAATACATTCCTAGGCTCTTGGTTCCGCTCCTTAAACACATCTATACAGGTGCTTTTGGAGTCAAGGTCAAGGTGGCACACTTTTTCCAAAGTGTCTGACACAGTACAGAGTAGTTAGTACAGAGAAACCAAAGGAAACTCTGGTCCCATCATGAAAAGGAGGTATAAGGAAGCAGGGCTTGGCCCAGACTCAGAAATCCCAAGACCAAGATTTTGCATTAGAGACATCAAATCATCAAAAGTGCCAGTTGAGATCCTGTCACTTTGGTCAATTGTTCTGCACACACACAACTGCCTTCATGCTTTAAACCTCACCGGTGCCTGGATGATACTGTGAACAAAAACTCCTGAGAAGAAGTTATGTCTATAGAGACTATGATTAGAACTGCAGTACGGTGGTCAGATTAGGAAGCTTCTGGTCCAGAAGCTAATTACCATAACTTGGGATAGTTCTAGTCCTTTACAGCAACCATTCCCTGCCTACCTCTGCTGTGGAATAATCCTCTTCTATACCGTAAAGATTTGGCGCTTGAATTGGTTTAATAAAACACTGATCGGTCAGAAGCCAGGTAGAAAGTATAGGTGGGACGACCAAACTAAGGATGATGAGAAGGAGGACAGAGTCAGGAGTCTCAAGCCAGATATAGAGGAAGTAAGATGGGAGTGTCATACCGAGAAAAGGTACCAAGTCGTGTGGCTAAACATAAATAAGAATTATGGCTTAATTTAATAAGAAGAGCTAGTTAGGAGTAAGCCTGAGCTACTGGCTGAGCATTTAGAGTTAATATAAGATTCTGTGTGATAAACTGGGAATCAGATGCTGGGTATTTGAGAACTGGCAGGTGGGAAAGAATCATCCATTTACACACCTCTTTGTCAGAACTAATATCTTTTAGTTAATAGAAACCTTTTTGGAATCTATTAACTTGGCAGACCATGAGCTTAGACAAACCCAAAAGCTAAGAAAATCATTAGATAACATCTAGGACCTATAGTAAAGCTTTATCCATCTTGCTGTATTTTGCTGTATCCCTGTATTTTAAAGTTGCCTTGATTTGTAATTTTCCTTGATCGGTAAAAACCACACAACTTCATGAAACTGCTTCCAGGTGGGAACAAGGAATTCAGGCTAACCTATTCTGTGTTCCTGAGCCATGGTCCCTCAAAATAGTTCCAGGATAAACTACCTCTTATTTCCTTTTAAGATGAGAGCTGTAATTTTTGTGTCAACAGTATATAGATACAAAAACTCTGGTAGCAGGGTTCGAGGCCAGGCATCCCCATGTTCAAATAGAGTCAAAGTGGAGTACCTCTGAGCTACAAGGACTCTGCAAAAATGTTTCCTAAATTTAGCTATGTGGTGTTGGCAACTACCCCATCCATCCCTGGGAAGAAAATACTTGAGGAAGACAGCAGTGGAGGCAAGAGCCATATCTCCAAAGTCAGGATGCTTTGGTGGAAATGTCCCACGCCTTAGTAGCCTGAGAAATATCAACTATTTGGTTGCATGAATGTCTATGTATAAAGCGTGGGGCCTGGTAAACAGGGTTACATAAATACCATCTTTTTAGTCTATTACAATGGAAGAGAGAAACACAGATGCCTAGCCTGTCACCATGTCACTTGGTTCATTCATATCAGTCTTGCTGCAAACACAGCTCAGGAATCGTCTGGGCTGTAGACTTACCCCTAAGTCTGCAAAGGGGCCATCCAACAGGGCTAACTGAGCCACTCGGCAACGGTCCCTGTTGGCTAGTGTCTGGGGAGTGCTGTAGCCCCCTCGAAGTGCATTCTCCTCAGCAATCAGAGCCTCAAGCTCTGGCGTGGCTCCTCCTGTCACCAGGGTCCGTATCAGGGTGAGGATATTGTCATTGAAGTATGTCTGTGGAAAGAAGGTAGAGAAACATTCTTAAGCCAACAACCTAAAGCCACCATAGCTGACAACCCAAATTCCAACTTTTCTTGGTATCTCCCATGTAAAGTTCTGGCTTCTCTCTTTAAATAATTTTCTGTGGGAAAAGAAAAAACAGCAGTCTCCAATTATTCCATTCTCACCTGCTTGGTTCCACTATGGGATCCTGACTTAAAGGAAGAAAAGAAAAGGATAAAAACAATTCAGGGAATTCTTAAAAGGTTAATGCCTGAAAAAGTGATGTTGGTAGATATACAAATACTGCCTTGCCTCTGTACACCTGAAAACTATCAACTCTGACACCAGGGGCACAATAAAAGGCAACACGCCTGGGCGGCTACCCTAAAGAGGGCAACCTCCTAGAGCCTGCCACCCATATGTTAGGAGGCAGGCCACCCACAAATAGCACAACTTCTTTCTGTTTGGAATTAGATGCAAAGAGAATCTTGAATGCCACACACTCAACAGCTTATCACAGACTTTGACAGTGGCTGGACCCAGAAGTCACCCCCAGGATAGCAGCTAGAGAAGTCTATGAGCTGCATATTCTGATGTGTGGATCTTGGGTTTGCAAATAACCCCAGCTGTCTGAGGCAAATCCAGATGATTTAAAGAACTCCTTCCCTTACATGCCATTTTTCTCCCACATGGAATGTTCACATGAAGGCAATGGGGGCTTTAAACATTAATAGAATGTCTAAGAAAAGACTTTAAAATGACATTGGTCACCCAGCCAAAATAGAGAAAATATCAATTAAATATGGTATGTTCCATTTTCTTGCATGAGAAGTCAAAGCCTCTACGTAAAAACAAACTGAATCTTGGGTGTGGTTTGGGGCATTTATTCACCACTGAAGCAGGCTAGAAAAGACAGGTGCATTCTTATTTGCAACTTCCTTGACAGTTTGCCTGGCAGTGCATCATGAGCCAGACATGGCTGAGTCCTCATCCTACCCTCGTCACTAGCTCTGTGTCGTCCTGGGCATCAGTGTTTACAACCATTAAAATCAGCATGGTTGTTAAAAACAAGTGTATATGCAAAGAATTCCACATGGACTTCCAAGTTAACAAGATGCTGCTGGAGGGCCTGGATTTTGTGTTCCTGATTGAAACACTCAACCAGAGAGCACAAAGAATTCCAGCTGCAAAGAATGCTAGGAAAGTTATACACAGGCTATCCTCAAGAGTTCAGCTGTTCTCTGGGGTGGACAAGCAGAATCGAAGACACTCAAGGGAACAGATGCAGGTGGGATGGCTAAGAGGGCTGGAGTCCTTTTGAGGTTCAGTGTTGACTTCAACTTTCAGAAGCTCTGCTGCCTTCGAAAGTTGTGAAACATTTTCGAACTTAGTGTCATCAGCTGTCAAATGGAATAGCAGAGCAGCTACAAGACACCTGAAGCTCAGCACCTGAGGGGCTGAGGAGAAACTCAGGGCCCGGGGAGTGTTGGTAAATATGGCTGACCTGAGCCCAGAGACATGGGGAAGGGACTGTTGATGATGGGCAACAGCCACTCTCACATCCAAACATCCCTTGATTATTTTCATTACTGTTCCAGCTTTTGTCCCGGAAGATGGAAGGCCATTATTCCCTTCATTCTGGAACCTCTTATCTCTCAGTCACCCTCAGTGCCCAAGTTTCCTCCAGAGCAGTAATTCTCAACCTTCCTAATTCTGTGACTCTTTAATACAGTGACCCACAACTATAAAATTAATTCTGCTCCTACTTAATAACTGTAATTTTGCTACTGTTATGAATCATAAGATACCTGATATGCAGCATATATTATTATGATCCCTGTGAAAAGGTCATTTAACCCCAAAGGGGTCAATGACCACATGGAGAACTGCTCCTCTAGATTAAAGAAGAACACCTTGAAGGTCCTGTGCACTACATCCTGAAGATTTAAATCCTGAAGATTAAAGACACACAAACATTTTCCAATATTTTCCCTATGGTCTGATACCCCACCCAGGCCTGTCTATCATATTAAATAATGGAGAACTGGACAGAAAACTGACAACTACCTTTGTGTTCCAATTACTATGCTAGACCCAGGGCAGGTAAGCGGGTGGCAAACATTCACAGCACTGTTTGCTGAACCACTAAGCACTCTCTGCCCAAATGTATAGAAATGAGGAACAGTTGGGTTTTGTTGTTGTTGTTTTCCCAAAAGAAAACAGTTTTCAAGATAAATCACTGAAGAATTTTTTTTTGACTGGGTAAGTAGTCATTAGAAGATCTAGCTGGCCAAAGTATAAAGATTAAGCCATAGTAGAGTGATTGACCCCAACTGGAGCATGCTCTCCAAGGCTCAGGGAACATTACCCAAGAAAGGCAGAAATACTAGAAGCCAGAAGATGGGGAAATACACCCATGAGAGGTCTTGTAGGTCATGACTTATTAATTACACCTGTGGTCATCTCCCAGGACCTGCACAAAACTGGACCAACTAATACTTCATTGTAGACAGGGAAGGAGCCAGGGAGGCCCCACTTCTGCTTCAGGAACTACTGGCAATTATAAGATGTTTGTGGAAAGGCTACTTTCTTCAGTGGTGTAGCAACTGGCAAGTTTCCTTGCTCCAGCAAAAATCACCAGTTAAACTCATTGAATCACATACAAAACAACTATGGGAGGGAAAGTGAGACTTACTGAGACGAAGAGTTTCAGTAGGAGAGAGAAGAGATAAAAGTGACTAAAATTCATTATATATAAATGTGTGAAACTGTCAACAAAAAGCCTTAATAAGGAGCACACAGATAAAACAGTTAATGCTCAATAGTTTAGGGTGGAAGAGCAGATGCTGTCCCCTTAATATCAGCAATAAAGAGGATCATTCTCATGACTTCCATCTTAAAATTGTGCTGGAAGTTTTAGTTAGTGGGAAAGAAATAAAAGACATTCACATTGGAAAAGAAGGAAGATTATCTCCACTCAAAGTGGCCTGGCACTGTATAAAGAGAATCCCAAGGAATCCATAGGTAATAAGGATTTAGTAAGATTTCAGGGTACAAAAACATTATGCAAAAATCAAACTTTTTTCTGTGTGAACAGGAAAAACTTAAGAAAGAAACTCTACTTCCAACAACATTGAAAATAATAAAATGCTTAAGAAGAAAAATTTTCAAGAAGTTCCAGGGCTGATATACTAAAAGCTATGCAACATTACAAAAGATATGAATAAAATATAAATAAATAGAAAGATGTCCCATGTTCTTGGATTGGAGGATAAGATTAAAATAATAATAAAAACCTTAACCATAATACAGATTCAAGACATTCCTATCAAATTTTATAGGAAATTACAGAAAACATAAAATGTTATATAAATCATATAAAAAGCAATCAGCAATAAAACTGAATGTTCTGAACCCGATTTCAAAATATACTTCTGGCACTAGCATGATTACTGGGCAAGGGAACAGACCTGAGAATCTAGAAATAAACACATAGAGCTGCTATTAACTGGCTTTCAATGAGGATATCAAGAAGCTTTATAAAGAAAGAATAGTCTACTAAATAAAGAGTGTTACAACAACTGAGCATCAACATACAGAAGAAAATGTTCATTGGCCCTATTCCTCACACCATATACAAAACAACACGAATCAAAGACCCAAATGTGACAGCTAAAAGTGTAGAGAGCTAAGAAGAAATAACAGTGGTGAATCCTTATAACTTCACTTTGACAATTATCTCAGATAAGGCACCAAAATCATAGACTACACAAGAAAGCTTGATCATTTGTATCTCATAATATTTTTAAATTATACACTGGAAGATGCTATGTAGAAAGTAAAACTTCTCTGTATAATTAGAGAAAATATTTGAAAATATTGTATCTTATAAGGGTATAATATTCAGTGTTTAAAATCCTCCAATAACATAACCAAAAGGCAATAAATTTGTAAAAATAGAAAAACAATGAGGCTTGATAAACATTCCTTCAAAACAAGGTAGAGAAGTCAAGAGACACAAGGAGGCCTAACACCAGTAGTCATAAGGACAACACAAGTTCCAATCTTAACGAGAGTTCATCTTTACCCACGGGGATGGTTATGATAAGACAGGGGACAGATAAATAGCAAGAACTGATGAACGTGGAGAAACTGGAGCCCTTACAGTTTCCATAGGTGTGTAAGTGTTCCGATCATTGGAAGGCAGTCTAAAAGTTCCTTAAATTAGTAAACTTTGAGTTACCACAGGGCCCAACAACCATACATAACTATACCCATGGGAAATGAAAGACACATCAAAACAAAACTTCATGCAGAGGGATTCATAACGGCATCATTTGTCATAGGCAGGACTGGAAACAATAAAATGGCACTTGGTTAATGGATACATCACAAAATGTTATAACCGTAGAAACAATTTTATTTGTGTATAAAAAGAAATAAAGTACATGGTACAACAAGGATGAGCCACAAAAATCAATAAGATTCCATTTATATGAACCATCCAGAAAAGGCGATTCTAGAGAGAGGGATACATGCTTGTCGATGCTCAGTGTTGAGCAGCTAAAGTAGTAAGGAAAATGAGGACAGAGTTCTCTTGCACGTTATGAGACTGTTCTTAAAAGATCCTTGGGGATGTTTACATATGCTTAAAAAAACCCATAAAATCATATACTTGGGTGAATTTTATGGTCTATTAATATTCCAATAAAGCACTTCTTAAAAGAACTGGTTAAAAGATAATTACATGGTTAAGAGATAATTACGTTTATAATGGTTAAATTTTTATATGTGGAGTAGAAGCTATAAAACTGAAAACTGTAAGTACATACGCATACATACAAGCAGATGTGCACACATGAGCCACCCACAAACATGTGGAGACACACACACATGGTTAGTGGTGGGGAGTGCATGCTTTACTGTCCTTAAAAGAACAAAACAAACCAGAGGATCTGCTAAACACTGAAGATGGAGCGGGACATGATAAACAGTAGTCTCCACGTGTTAAA